AAAAATGAAAAAATTCAAAATTAGCTTGATTTACAATTGCTAATTGAAAATCAACCGTTATTTCAAAATTAATTGAAATTTACCTATTTTTTATACGGAAAAAATCTAAATAAATATACCCTTAGTCAAAATCAGAAAAAAATCTTGCATAATATGTTGGATCTCGACTTTTTTACATATGAAATTCTAACATATTATGCCGGAATTTTATATGTAATAACTTCATAATTTAATATATTATGCTGGATTTTTTCCATGTTTCAGCAAAGAGTATTTTAATCTAAATTTTTATTTCCGTATTAAATAATGGCTAATTTCAATTACTTTACAAATATTAATTATTTTTTAATTATCATTCCAAAAACAAGTCAACCCACGCTATTTGGCCTGCCCTTGAACTTAAAGTCAGGACGATATCATTGTGTAACAAAATCCTTTTTATTTTCTTATTTTGTTAATCGGATAAAGTGCTCTTTTTCATTACATTTCTAAATCAGACTTCAACGGCAAGTTGATGGCCAAGATTTCAGAGATACGCAAGAAATATGGGGTACATTAGGCAAGGATTTAAATACAAAACTTACATACCAAAATATTGATAATATGTTTGTCATGAGATTTAAAAGTTGTAAATTTGAAAACAAAAATAGAGCATCAACTTTATCTTATCACTTTTTGAAATTGTTGCTAAGAATTGTTGGTAATCCACGTCATGCCTTTCAACGCAATATTCTTGACGAGAGTCTAAGCTTTTAGAAATAATATTAACTAAATAAGTTACTATTTTGAGAATGAATAAAATAAATTTTATGCAAGTTTTCGACAAATGAACCAATTATGAATGAGAAATATTCATTCGGTCCAAGAACTAAGAGCAATCGATATTCTGTCTTTTAAATGGACTTGAAATCTAGTGATTGTATTAGTTATCAAAGGGGACATATCTTCCCTGGCACCTATCCCTATTCATCTCTCCCTTTCTCATATTGTAATTGTTTCAAGGAAAAATGAAAAACGATAAATAAGATACTTGAATATGTCTTTGAAAAAAAAAAGGGCTATCCAAATAGTCGTCATCCAATCACTTAAACAAAAAATATCCGGTAAATATATAATATATGCATAATTTATATATTTTATGTGTATAATTGTATATACTCAATGTATAATATATGTATATAGCTATAAAAAAGTAAACAATGAATATGACTGACTATTTGTGTAAAGATCCCAAAGAATGACACCAAGTAACCGTTGTAAGTGCTATAACATATTTTGTTTTTAAGAACTATTAAAAATTTAGTCAATTTTAGCAAATTTTAGACTGCTCATGATATTGCTGACCTTTTCTTCTTCCTTTTTTTTTCCTCGAGACATTCAGGTCTGAAGGTAACATTCATACGTTTGAACTATATTTTAACTTCAGACCTCAATTTCGAGCGATTCTTAGAGCCCGTTTGGACATTCCTTTTTTAATTTTTTTTTTTTTCGAAATCAGCGTTTATTCATAAAATTTCCAAATTTCACTTGAAGATGCATTTTGAAATTTTTCGAAAATTTGAAAAACTTCAAAAAGCTGTTTTTCAAAATTTTCACTCAAATCACTCACAAAACTTCAAAAACAACCCAAAATTATATTCATGTCTAAACAGAACTCTAAATTTCAAACACCATTTTTACTTAAAAAAAAATTTCCCCCTATTTTGAAATTTTACAATTCTTATGTCCAAACGCCCACTTAGTCTTTGGCAGATCTAATTTCAGGCCCACAATTTCAAGTAATTCATAGGCAGTTAAATTTTAAAATTTTGTAAATTCCGGCTATTATTTAAATCGGATCCTAAAATGGCTATTTGCGCACTTCCCATTTGACGTGTAAACCCAACTCAACCCAGTCCCACCCAATTCAACCCGTTTCCCAATTGGAAATTTTGCTTTTGCTTTAAAAAGTTATACCTCTATACTTATCATATTCAGTTTACTTGAGGGTATAACTGTTCTTATTTCTATCTACTGAAACCAGCGGTCGTTTATCAGGTTATTCGTTGATTACGTATCTAAACTTTGCTTTATGTACATATTCTCTTTTATCATTTGATTTAATTTACTAGATAATTTTATCGAGTAATTTTTTACTTGATTTCCTCTACATTAAGGGAATTATGAATCTTTAGCCAGATCAATTGATCACCCCTTTTTATTGCTGTAAATTTTAGATAATTTCTGGTGGATTTGAGTTAAAACTGAAGTTGCATTGGACAGTCTCTATCTTCTAAAGCGCATTATTATAATCATAATTGTTGTTGTTGCTGTTAATTTTTTTTTAGGAGCTAGGGCTCATTCATTAGGGTGTTTTGTGATTATAGTGGACTAATTGAAGGATTCCAATTTCCCATTCAAACCCACCCTATCTTTGGACATAGTCTTGAAACCTGTTTCAAACAATCAAGAAGAACACTCTTAGCACTGATAAGCATCTTCCCTAGTATAAATAGGGTTTTCCTGTTTGCAGATTGAATCAAATTATTAAAGAAGTAAAATGACCTTATATGAGATGGTGTAAACTGCTGTCATTGCGCTGCATCTTTTCTGAGTTGTTTTTTCGTGACCACTATGTTTTATTTCAATTCACATTTTGCGTTGCTTCTGATCTAAAGTATTACTTCTTTAACAAAAGATAAGATATTTACATCTTTCCAAGCCTTTGTGGACAGAGTTACCTGGTACTTGTTGCTAGTGGGAGGCAGCAGGTATCCCGTATTCCCCTGAAATTAATCGAGGTGCGCTTAAGTTGGCACGGACACCACGGTTATAAAAAAAAAAAGAAGATATAATGTCCTTGTATCTTATTTAACAGTGTTGCAATACCTAAATCCCAACCTAGTTGAGATCTGCTATTTGGTTTCGTCAAATATTCTTTAGCTCCATTTGAAGCGATGCTTTACAATTTATTTTTTTTGGTATTTTTTCGTTCTTGCTATTACAAATAACTTAAGAATATCCTTATCAACAAATGACTTAATGATATCCGACCAGAAAGATATTGAAGCTTTCTTTAGTTGCTAATCAACCTAGTTGGACGGTCTTACATAACATCATTCCCTAGTCTCCATCTCATAAGTAACTTCATAAGGCACACTAAAGTTTGTGATTTGAATTCTGGTAATCTTACTAAAGATGGATAAGTTCTAAGCTTGTTGTATACTTCATTTTGCTGCAGATACTATGAAACATTCCAAGGATCCTTTTGAAGCTGCCATTGAGGAACAGGAGGGCTCACCCCCTGAATCTCCTGTTGGCCTTGACGAGAATGAAAACGAAGACCAAGCTGCACTTAATGTTAGTGTTCATGGCGATGACGATGCTAATATTAATGCTGGCACTGAAAATCGTTTGATATCTGTCACTGCACCGATTTCTGTTGGTACTGCTGGTCCAAGTGGTAAAACAAAAGAGGAAGATGAGGAGGAAGAGGAAGAAAACATGGATGTGGAGTTAGGAAAGTTTGCATCAAGCAGTGATCCTGATAAAGTGGTGAAGATGCAGTGAGTCTTTGATTTTATTTATTCTATATTTTCTTAAATTTCTTTTATCAACAAGAAGCCTATCAATCCTTGTGCTTTAGCATTCTGGTTTATGGATTTCGTTCTTCGAAAATCTGGTTGGACTACTTAATACCAAATGTTATTTGTACACAATGAAAACTCTTTCTTCATAGTTATTAACATTATTTTCTTGCTATCCTATTTCTTTCCTGCCTGTCTGTCTGCTACAAGAAATGCTTATGTAATTGGTGTCTTTAGTTGCTACCTTTCGGATATCTGCTTATAAGTCCATAATCAGTGGATTCTTGTATTAAGATCTGTTAGAAATCTGATGAGGCATCTTGCTTAATATGATGCACGTAAATCCACAGGAAAAAGCAAATGCTATTAGAGCTTTTAAACTAGCTCTATCCATAACTGTGTGAGGTGCCTCCTGGTAGCAATGGAAATACTGTCTTTCTGGCAAGGTACCTAGTTTTGCTTGTACTGGGATTAGTAAGTGAGGGGAAAAATGGGAAGGTGACTAATGTAGATGGTAATGTAGTCATTGCAGCACCAATAAAAATAGAAATAGCTCATTGCAGTTAGTACTTTTCTGATTAGATTTTGCCTTTTGAAAAGTGAGGGATGTCCGGAGAACTGCCAAACCTGCCCAAACCACCAAGAAAGCTGAAACTCATAATTTATGCTTTATAAACCTATATACTCCCTCTATTTCGTTTTATAAAACTTTGTTTGCTGGATGTGGAGTTCAAGATGTTAATTTGACTCATGTATTATATTAGTGGAAAGGATAGAAAATATAAAGTTAATTTGATAGAGGAAACATCAAATGAAAGGTTAAAATAAGATCCAATGGAAAATTTTGACCAATTCCTAGTATTCCTCAATAGAGAGTTGCTATCATATTTTAAGGAAGAGGGTCGAACATGGTTTGAAAACATGTTCTCGGTCTGTTAGGTAACAAACTGTGGTGTTTATTTTGTGTTTAATGGACACTGGAACAACACCAACAAGCATGTTTCTGTGGTGCTTTCCTCCCTGCGGAGGACATATTCAAAATTATCGTCATCATAAATGTTTCGTGTTCAATGTCTAACATAAGCCTGGAATCCTAGTGGCTGCTAACGTCACCGGCGTTTCTCCATTCACAGGTCCAGTTGTGTCCTGCTAAACTCATGTGGCACAAAACAGGCCCCTGTGAAAAACTAATAGTTGCAGTAGCCTCCGCCTTGATTGCCTGCTTTGTTGTCTGAAAAATATGATCCCTACTATTGCAGCTATACTAATCAGAAAGTTACCCTCTCCAGAGGAATTGACCTAACAGCACAGCTACCTCAGTCTGGTTAGCTGCTTGCTGAATAAATACATTAATTTTTACTTATTAAAAAAAGATACATCATTATTGGCATCCCATATAGTACTATTTGGATGCTATTGTATTTCAATCTAATCTCCTTTCTGCAGGTCTATACTATCCCAATTCACAGAGCAGCAAATGAGTCGGTATGAATCTTTCCGTAGGTCTGGTTTTCAGAAATCTAACATGAAGCGGGTATGTCCTTGATGCTCTCACTATCTCCTCCGTTTAGCCTCTTGTGTTTCCTTTTCTCGATGTGTTACGGATGATTTGTATTCTCACCCAAAAGTAGCATAGAGGATAATTTGAGACTGTTTTTATCATCTCTTGAAGGAGAGCCTTGAAGCAACATAAGTTGTCTTTGTGCGACCTATAGGTCATGGGTTCGAGCCATAGAATCAGCCATTGATGCTTGCATCGGGGTAGACTGCCTATATCGCAACCCTTCTGCAGACCATGCGTAAACGCGGGATGCTTTGTGCTCCGTGCTGCCTCTCTTTTTTCCCTCTCTTGTGTGCATGTATTGCGCTATTCATATGTGTGCTGTTCATTGTCAGGGATAGGGGGTTTAGACAAAATGGCTACACTGAGAAGAAAATTGGGTAGCAGTTCTTCATTCTCTGTCAATTGATCCTTCTAATATATGTTGAGGCTCTCTAAGTGAACAGTTCAGTTACTATAAACCAATAAATTAGCAATAGGAATAGAGTAGAAAAATGCTAATCTCATTTGCAAGCAGACTCTTATTTGCCAACTCCATTTTTCATGTCTAGTCATGATGCTAGTTCTGCTTCCAGCCTTCCATATTTTAAGGTTGGAGGGCCTTCTTATCTGACATTTAACCATTTCCTTTCGTCTAGCCAATTAAAGCAATTAGTGTTTTGTCTTCCACCGAGAACATTTATTTTTAGAACCTCAAATCTTTAGATGCCAAATTTTGGGCTTATATTTCGGAACAATAACCTTTGCTACCTTATAAGGACACCATTGAAATATTTGGTTGTCCACTTTCATAATGTATCGTTCATGATTTGATTTATGTATCATCACTCTTCGCCTATGTTGTTGTCTATGCAGTTACTGACCAGTATCACAGGAAGTGCAAAGATATCTGTCCCAATGACAATTGTGGTGTCTGGTATAGCAAAGTTGTTTGTTGGTGAGCTTGTCGAAACAGGTTGGTAGGCATTTACAAGTTTACACTGGAAAAGTAGATGAGCCCAAAATATCTTTTCCAGTGAGGCGTAGTGGACTTGGTCGATTCATTAATGGGTAATGCAGTAGCAGCCCTTAGAACCATCCATGAATGAGCATGTTGCCCAATAAAGTTTTAAAGCACTTTACCTCTTAAACTTGCAGCACTTTACCTCTTAAACTTGCTAGTATAAAAGTAATACCAAAATGGCTTCTATTGACAGACTCATCAAAATTCAAACTGTAAAGGAAAAGGCCTGTGCTTGCTAGCATATGTGATGTGTCTGAAGTAGCATTTGACATGTGTTCAGTTGATTCAAAAAGCTAGACATGTCATCTAGGGATAGGAAGAAATAGAACTTTTAGACCAAGAAAAAGTGTAATGATATTCTTGCCCTTTTGACCCAAGCATCCTATCATCTCTTTGATGCCCGCACTTGTGGCTGCCTTCTCTTCATCAGAGCTCAATTTCACTCTCTTTAACTGCCTCTCCTCTGCCCTTCCCCGGGCTAGCCTTTTTAACTGCCTCTCCTCTGCCCTCTTTCCACAATTGACTTACTGAGCTTTATGGCTTTATTAACAGAAAGGTGCCTGGACTAATCTTTTAGTAGTTTTAGGTGAAAATGCATCATTCTTTTTATCAATAAAATCTTTACCTTATCCAAAAAAAAAAAAAAAAAGCATCATTCTATCCCAAGTAATCACTATATTTTTCCATGGAATTCTTTATCCAGCTAGAATGGTTATGGCGGAGAGAAAGGATACAGGGCCAATCAGGCCGTGTCACATGAGAGAAGCGTATAGAAGGCTAAAACTTGAAGGCAAGATTCCAAAAGGATCAGTACCCAGGCTTTTCCGCTAGCCAACTACAGAAGCAACTTGTGCTTTTATTTCAGGTTTTCTTCATCCTGTTTTGCCTACAGCAACTTGACTTTCAAGATCATTCCCTTTTTGGATTGTCATGACTCGTTCCTTGCTCTACTTTTTTATGCCATATAAACATTGCTGGGCCACAGAGCTTTGGAAGGTATGGAGAACGGATTGCTACAAGTCTAAATTCATGGAACCTGTTCGTTATGCACTTTTTCACCAGAAGGAAGTCACTTGACATTTGGAAGAGATAGGATGTTATTATTTAAGCTATCCCCAATTTCTGAACCTAAAATGTGGAAAGAGAACCAAATGTTCTTGAATTTTCGGCTAAAACGTCAAGCATTGTTTTATTCTGTAGACAGTCTGCGGAGCGTGTGAATATAAGAGATGATTAGAGCCTTGGGAAACAACACCATCAATCTTTCTATGGAGTTTCTGTCTTTTGGTTTCTTTTGTGCATAAATTACTACTAGTTTAATTTTTATCTTAAATATTTCTTTTCTTTCTATTTCTACTAACGTTAACTTTCCTTTTTATTCTTTAAATCACTAAAACAATCAATTTCCATGCAACTTTCCAGTTCCCACGTCTGAAGTTTACTCGATTTTCCCATCCCGAAATGGTGAACCCATCTTTTCGAAATCCCTGCCTCTGCCCACTGTCGCTCACAGAAATCGGGTTCTTTAACGAAGGGATAGACCATATCGAATTTCTATAATGATTGAATGTGAAATAAATCTAAGATCATACTGAATGAAGTGATATAACAAAAAATATTGTCGCTCAAAATTAATACAGATTTTTTGCTAAAACTGAATAAAACAAAAATAAAGTATTCCTACAGGCAATACCATCGTTGATTTCTTTCAATAATATAATGGTCTCGAAAGAGGATTTGTCTCCAGGAAAACCGTTATCATCACGTCTGCTTTCTATTCGTAGCTGCAGTGTATTATTTATATTGAATTTGACCTAACTATTTTGTTTTGAAATCTCTAGATGTATATTTAGGGCTCTGTAGCTTCTATATTTTATACGTTCACTGTAATATAGTATTAGCTAGTTTTTTTTAAGTTACCCACTACACATCCAATGCAGACATCTGCCTCCATTTATTTTAATTAAGATTAAGTTGTTTGAATCTATATAAATATCTTAATATTAAGTTTTCGCATTTAGATGAACGCTCACTGAATAAGTAAAACACTTTGTTATTTGAACTTTATCTTTATTACTCTCACTATATCAGTTTATGTGATACAATTTTTTAATTAGTCCCCTTAAAAAAAGCTATATTTTTATATTATAAAATAATTTATTTTTTAAAATTATTTATTTTATTTTTAATGAGAAACTTTTATAGTTATATAAATGATATGAGTATATGTTTAAGATCACTAGTTTCAAAAGAGTTCAAATTACGCCACATAAATTGGAACGAAAAGGAATAATTTATAAAGGGGTGAGTTTGGTCAAATTTTTTCATAATTTGTGGAAAATGACTTACCCCCTAATTTCTGCACGCTCTTTCTCTTCCCCGCCCTCTCCTTTTCTCTACACTCTTTCTTCCCCCTCCCCCCAAAACGAACGTATTTCCAAGCCAGATCATTCTCATTTAGGGTGTGTTTGGTATGAACGAAAATATTTTTTAATTTTTTCATATTTTGTTGGCTTAAATATTTTAAAAAATATTTTCCTTATCAACTCATTTTCTTCCAATTGGAGAAAAATATTTTCCCTATCAAAAGAAGGGAAAATATTTTCCAAAACTCTTTTTCAACCTTCTCCACCTTATTTCCCATGCTCACCACCCCACCCTCACCCACCCCACCCCACCCCCCAACCACCCCAACCTCGCCCACTACCCACCCTAAATAGAACTATTATTAAGAGTACTTTCTTTCATGTTGTAGATACAATACTTTTTTTATTTCAACAAAATTAGTATATTCTTTTCATGATTCAGTAAAAGTATTTTTTTTCGTTTCAACAAAACGAGTACTTTTTTCATGATGTAAAAAAAAAATCTTTTATTTCAACAAAACGAGTATTTTCTTTTCATGATATAGAAAAAGTATTTTTTTTATTTTAACAAACTAAGTATTTTCTTTTCCTGAAATAGAAAAAGTTTTTTTTTTCCAAAAAATGAGTACTTTCTTTTCATGATATAGAAAAAATATTTTCTTATTTCAACAAAGTGAGTATTTTCTTTTCATGATGTACAAAAAGTATTTTTTTTTTTTTCATTCAACAAAATGAGTAATTTCCTTTTATGTTGTAGAAAAGATACTTTATTTTTCAACAAAATAAAGTATTTTCTTTTTAGTTATCAAGCTCAAATTTTAATGGTGTTCTGTGCGAAAAAAGTAAAGTACCACATTAGTTCCTTTGGGTTTGTGTGAATTTTGAAAAGAATAATTAAATTCTTGAAGAAAATACAGTCCCGAGTGGGGGGAGGGGGGAGAGGAAGGAGTACACAAAATATGGGGATTTTGGGGAAGGTAGGTTAAGGAGAGTAGCATAAAAAATTATTTTCCTAAAAAATTTNNNGGGGGGGGGGGGGGGGGGAGGGGGGAGAGGAAGGAGTACACAAAATATGGGGATTTTGGGGAAGGTAGGTTAAGGAGAGTAGCATAAAAAATTATTTTCCTAAAAAATTTTTATACTCTCTAACCAAACACTAGAAAATATTTTTCGGAATAAGTTTTCCACTCACCAACCAAACAAGGAAAAATAAGTGATACAATCACTCATTTTCCGGAAAAATATTTTCCATAAAAAATATTTTCCTTCGTACCAAACACACCCTTAATGGTATGTCATTAGTTCACTGTCTTCTAAGAATGAGGAGAGACTGATTTTTTAGAAATAGTGATTTATCTCGGGTAATTATTGAAGGCCTATGGACTTTTAAAGTCCATAACATGTTTAAATGGATATTTTGAAGAAGGACAACAAGATTCACGACAAAAAAATTTATTTTAAGGTCTAGAGTTATTTTAGTCCTTGTAAATCATAATTAAAACCAAAATATAAATAGTTCATTATATTTTCATTTTAGCTGATTTTTGGATGAATAGTTTAGGCTGCTTTTGTGAGTTGGGGAATAATCCTCTCATCTCTTCAATTCCCCTTAGATTGTAATCTTCTAATTGATTGCTAATTATTGCTTTCTTTAGTTGATTAAATCCATCCCTTCTTCTCTCTCTTTCCCTAATTTCTTATCTATCCCTTTAATTCTATGTTATCGTAAAAATATTTATTTTTTGTGATGAATACAGGTAGAAATTGATTTAGTGTTTCTTTTCTTTTTTAGCTTTCCTTTAGATATACTATGTACTAGTCTTAGTGTACGTGCGTTATGCCTGTACCCTGTATAAATGAGATTTTTTTTTTTAAATATCATAATTAATTATTTGAAAGATGTATTTATGTTGCATCTCTTTATTTTTACTGTTTCGATTTGGTTCTAAAGTCAAAGAATTTGATAGCTTGCGGTCTTAGATAATAAGGATAATGATCATTGCGTGAACAAGTTAAAACAATTCTTTCATGTAAAATAATTTTTTTTTGTTTTTGAGTTCGGTCATAGTAAGCTTTTTTTTCGTCATTAAAAAAGAATATTTCTTTTGTCGATTGGAATTGAGATCATTCTGGAGCAAGCAGTCATGTAGCCATGTATTTTGTGATTTGGTTCATAGTGTATTCTAACTTCTAACAAATATCTTTTTTAAAAATTTGCATGCAGTAAATATATAATTTAATTATTCATTGTACGATTATATATGCTTTGAATATTCTTGGCTCATTGTTTTGGAGAAAATTGGCAAATAAGTATATTTTTATAATTTTCTAAATTTTTGAGCACGCGCACGGAAAATAAAGCTACATATCAATCGTGAGATTACTCCATATCAATTGTTACTTTGTGTCTAATTTTTGGAGCATGCACCTAAAAGAATCATCAATAATAATAATAATAATAATAATAATAATAATAATAATAATAATAATATTTAAACAAGTAAATTTTTGTAGTATTACTTCGAGTTGATGATGGCAAGGTTTTGTGGCATTAGTTTTTTTGTGGCTTTTTAGCTTCGTGTGAGATTTGTAGCTTTAAAGGATTTGTTATATTGCCTAACGAAGAGAGACAATCTAAGTTGAGGAATTTATTATATATTGTAGTCCTAAATATTAGGCTAAGTATTAATTGAAATTGATTTGAAAATCCTAAATATTACGAAATTAATTTGAATTATAATTTAATCCCTTGTGAAATCTATTTTTAAAGGATAAAAAAGGCGAACGACATTTCGATAAAGGCGTTCATGCTTTTAATATAGTATAGATATAGATATAGATAGATAGATATAAATGTAGACTAGTTGTCACAATCTAGTACTACTAATTAATTTTTAATTCTTTTGCCGTTTCACTTCCTTTCTCTATCTCTGCATGTTTGAGCCAATTATAAATCTGGGAATCGTAAAAAAACGTTTTAGTCCTGGTAATCCATATCTAATCCGGGTGGTGGCCTGATTTTCTTAGTGATAAGGTTCTTGAACTTTCAAAAGAAAAAAAAATGGGATTGTGTTTGTTACGTAGACAAATAAAGACATTAACATAAACCCACAATAATTTGTTTGTTATCTTGAAGTAACCGTTAATTTATTTTTATTACACTAATGTTGATGAATTTGTAAGGTGTTTAACTTTTAGACGGTGATAATATAAAAGAATTTTCACATTATCTTATCACATAAATAATAACTAAATAGGTATTCGAGATTAATAACCTAAATATTGTGCTATTTGTCATTATGCCCCTTTACAATTTTAAAATTAAGAAAATGACTTTTAGATCTCTTATGTATAAAAGATTTACGATTAAATTTTAATCTCGCATGTATAAAAATAGAAATAGGATCATAAAACTAAAAATAAGTTTGTAAAGAGTCACAAAACTAATTGAACCCCTAAAAACTAAGCCAGATAATCTATTACAATAAGTTCGAATATATTAAAGCGGTTTTCACCATGTTAAATGGGAAAAAATAAAAGATAGCGAGATTTTATAATTGGTAAATGAAAAATAGTCACAGTTTCAAAAGTAATCGAAACTTAGCCACTTTTTCTGTTGAAATTACATATAAAGAAGAAGATTTTGATCACAAATTTGATCGAGAAACATATTTGCCGATTGACGAAGAGAAGAAAAGTCCATGGTCTTCGATTGCTAAAGTGAAAAGAGGTTAGTTGTTTAAGTTTCAAAGTACAAATAAGACTTAGGACTATCTGATCAATATGGGTCTGTGAGAAATGACAATTCTACCCTCATAGTTGTCCACCAATTTTGAGCAACAGATATATCCCAGAATATTCTAGAATCACTACAGTTGTAATCAATTATTTCTTTGTATATAATTTATTTTGTAATAGGACAAATA